GGTTATATCAAAGATCGCAGTGATTTGGCCAAATATGCATACATGTATTTTATTGACATAATGTATGAATTTTTACAATCAAATATTATATGCGTTATGATCTTTTTTTTTTTATTTTTGGATGTAATTCATGATGGAAATAATTTTTATTAATAACTTAACAATAACGATAATGATAAGTGCTTGTAATAAGAATACATACGTACGTACTTGTATTCGCAGATCGATAGTACACGTGTATCGACCTTGTGTAAGGCAAAATTTGATGATGTAAATAAAGCCGCTCTATCGTTATAAATTAGCTTTGCGTTTCATATGGCGTAATAATACTTCAGCAAATTTGTATTTTTTTAAAAGAAAAACTTCTTGTAAAGAATTAGTTCCAATTAAAACACTACAACATTCAACCATAAGCACTAAATATGTTCATGATAAAGTCTCTTGGAAAACTTATTTGGGGTGAGTGACTGTAAAAGTGTTAAATTATAAATAATTGCTTTATTAGTGACGTTTACGTTAAATTTTGGTTTATAGGCGATCCAGACAATCCTGAACTTATTCAAATAAGTGCAGGTGAGCTCTATCTTGTTAGGCCAAATAGTCCAAAAGGCAACAGAGAATGCATGTATGTTTATGTACGCGTCTCTAAAGGGCACAGCAGAATATCTACTTATTCAATTGACACACGTTTTCTAAATAATTTAAATAATTATTTATAAATCTCTGGTGAATAAATGATTTATCTATAGCTTTCGAGAAGCCCAAGCTATTATAAGGCGCACAGGTACTGAATGGCAGTATCAACTTGTTATCGACAGAGTTTTTGAAGAAGGTGAAGAAGAACTAGTGTCAGAAGGTGAATCTGACGAGGAAAGTCAAGGTTTGTTAGTGTTCCAATTTTTTATTTTTACGTCACATATTTTGATATAGTAAGAATTCTAATATTTAAAATAAATCACTTGTAAAGGTGGTGAAGAAGAAAAGGTTTTCCTTATTGATGAATCTCTTGAATTTCGCAAAGGTCAAATTGAGGGATTGACCACATTCGCATGGAGGGATTTAATGGGTGTAGGTGACATTACTATAGTTTATATTGAACGCGTATTTTAGAGATCTAATTGATTCATCCTTTTTTCGCAATAGGACCCTGATGATTTATTTGAATTTGTTTGCGACGTGAATACTACGGCGCATACGGCCAATGCTTTCGAATACACTATGTATAGTTGCATGTTTGAACGAAAATACAGAAAATCGCGTGAAGAGGCGACCGAACAAGATCTCCAAAATTTCATTTATGTGTAAGTTTTTATATAATATAATTATACTCAAACTGTATGATGCATGATTTTTATTATGACGTTTATGATATTATAAATCTTAGACCGCTAGCAGAGAGAGACCATTCAAAAGTTTCACAATCTCCGAAACATCACACATCAACACCTTTAAATGACTCACCAGTGTCGGCTAGTACGACACCTGTCAGGTCTGTTCGGTCTGAAACTTCACCATCATCCACCCCTACACGACATACTGTTTCTTCCGATTTTCCTGGTGCCTCATTTGAAGTTGAAAACGCCATATCAGTGCCTGTTGAATTGCATGTGTTTGATCCTACTTCAGGAACATTTGTGTTAATGTCGCAAAATGCCACTGCCAGTATAAAGAAAGGAAAAAAATTTGAATGTATCCTTTTAAGATGACCTAAATATGGTATGAACATTTTACTCAAAATTATTTCTTGACGTCATTCAAATTGTAGATTGGCATGTCGTTTCAGATGATAAAACAACACTTGTCGGCCAGCGGGTTGAACCAAAAATGAATCCAGTATTTAATCGGGTAATTTTTATATTTTTATTAGGACAATTCTATTCGTGCACTAGCATATAAAACACTTAACATTTTATTTATTATCCATTTTCGAGATTCTAACAAAAACAAATTTCAGTACGAGCCATATTTTAACACAAATATGGCCTAATTTAATCTTTAAATTTTGTTACATGGCTTTATAAATTATGTCCATGTTTTATACATTAGTTTAAATTAAGAATATTTTTTTCCTAATAATATTATTTTATTACTCATAAATAATTATATGC